GGGCCTTTTGCCCCTTCTCTCCCTTCACAAGGGGCCCTGGCACTTGTGCCCTGTTTATAAACCAGCTATGGTCTCTAATGTGTCACCTGCTCACTTCTGCACACTCACGCCCAGGCGACTTGGGAACTGCGCCTCTTCTCTGGATTTGCCTGCTGTGTTTTCAAGGTTCATCCATGTTGGAGCTTGTATCACTTCTTCATTCCTTTTTATGGCTGCACAATATTCCATCATGTGGACAGACCACATTTTGTCTATCCATTCATTGGTTGATGGCACTTGGGTTATTCCTACCCTTTGGCTATTGTGAGTAGTGCTTTTCATTCCTTTTGGTTTGGCTTTCCTGAGATCGTTGCGGTGGCCGGCTGTCTATATTCCTACAGCTTGGCCGTTCGGAGAGCAAGAGAAGGCAGAGCTGAGCGTGGTGGTCGGCGGGAGACTGGTGTGGTGGGAGGTGCGGGTGCAGCCCAGGGCGGCTTGAAGGTTGGACAGGAGGCTCTGCCAGAGCGAAGGGCTTACGCGTGATCCCAGAGCTGACTGGTGATAGGAGGGTGTTTCCCTGGTGATTATTAACTGACCGTTCTGATCCTGAGAGTAGATCCCTGGGGCTAGGCTTGGTGCTTAGTTGAAATGCCATAAATGTTTTCAAAGACTTTTAAATATTCCTCGACCCTTGGTTCTCTCTGTCTGGAGACCAGGCCACCATTTTATGAGTTACGAAAATAATAAAGATGATAATAATAATGATAGCAATGGTCTCCGTTTGTATAGGGCTTTGTTTTATTTCACAGCCATAACTTTTAATTCCTTAGAACATTATCCCCCCCATCTCTGCAGAATGAAGGAGCCGGAACACAGAGAGGTGAGGGGACTTAACCAAGTTTACACAGTGGGGTGGCGAGTAGAGCCAAGCTGGAACCCAGGAACCTCTTGACTCAGCGTAGGGCATTTTCGTGGGAATGTGCGATGATCTCAGACAGTCTGAGGCAGAGCCGGAGGAGGCCGGCGACGAGGCCCCGGATGCCTGCAGCTGGAAGTGGGGTCCTCCGCCCTGGGGCCTGTTGTCCAGTTCCCTACAAACAGCCCCATGTGGGTGAATGGCTCCCTTGTTTTTTCAGCTTCCACTCCAGGCTCTTTGATCATTTCCTCCTGAGATTTGTGTTAGGCCAAAGCTGGCTAGAACCTCATTTGGCTAAAGCCAATTAGGGTCTCTTCTGGCCTCCCTGAGCTCTCCCAGCCATCCCAGGATCCCCAGGCTCTGGGGCAAGACTCCCAGAGCAGAGGCCCTCAGTACCACGTGGCTCTGAGGAGACGCTGAGTAGGCAGCGCCTCTGGGACCCCCAGAGGCAGGAGGAGGGCTCCTGGCCCGTCCGCTCACGCCCGCTCCTACGGCCCTTCTCCTAGCTGAGTGACGGACTTTCTGCCCCCCCCCCCCCCCCAGCCCCCCGTCTTCCTCTCCCCTCCTCTGCTGCCGTCACCACCGCCGCCTCTAGTGCGTCCCCGTGTGAGCCTGGACGTCTCCATCCGTAGAGCTGGGTGTGGGCCTTTGGCTGGCTTAGCTGAAGGGGCAGCTTTCAATCTCATTGCGTTGTCACACGTCAGGATCTCTCTGGGTTATCAGAAACACGTTACAAAGAACTGTGAGGGTCCCGCGTCTGCTACTAACTTACCTTTTGCTTATAATAAATTAGGACAGAGTCAAGGTTACCCCTTGGCAGAACCGTGTCACTCTTACCTGCTCACGTGTGGCATGTTGGCTGAGAAAAGGCTGGAATTGCTTTGAGTGCTGTAGTTCTTACTCTGTCTTGTCTTAGCACCAGCCAGTGGCCGGTCCTCGCTGTCCTTGGGAGCATGGCTCACACTCAAATGTCATTGGTTGTGAGGGCTGGGACAGGGCAGGGTGGGCCCCCGCTGACCACGCAGGATGGCGAGGCGGAAGCAGGGGCTCCATCCTCCTTGTTTTGGCCCTCCAGTGACAGTGCCGAGGCTGGAACTTGGGACTTGGGTGGTGCTTTTGTTTCCTAGGGCTGCCGTAACCGGGCTCCACGAACGTAACCAAGTATCACAGACAGGGCGGCTTGAAAGGACAGACACTTATTTTCTTAGTTCTGGAGGCCAGAAGTCCAAAATCAAGATGTCAGTAGGGCCAGGCTCCTTCTGAAAGCTCCAGGGAAGAATCCTTTCTTGTCTTTTGAGCTTCTGTAGCTGGCTCCGTGGTCATGTGGCACTCTCTCTGCGTGTCTGTGTCTTCACATGGCTGCCTTCTCCTCTTATAAGGAAACCAGTCATGTTGAATTAAGAGGCCAAGCTAATGGCTTCATCTTAACTTGATTCCATCCGCAAAGACCTTATTACCAATAAGGCCACATTCGCGGGTACTGGAGGTCAGGACTTCAGCATATCTCTGGGTGGTGGGGGGTGGGGTGGACACAACGCAACTCACAATGGGAAGTTAGCTCTTAAATACCCGTCTTTGGCTCCTAGAGGGAGGGGCGGAGTCCACAGGAGGGTGGTTCAGCGTGGCTCATTCCCCGCCACAGGTGCCACTCCAAGCCACCTCTCTACCAACTTAGACTAGATTCCGATTTGCAGCCAGGGCCGGCGTGAAGCCTGAGTTCTGGTCTTTCGGAGGGTCGCAGCTGTGCCTGTGCCCACCCTGGCATCCCCTCTGGAGTCTTGGATAGGACCCTGGAGCTAGCATGAGGCTGGGGGCTCTCTCCTGCTCCAGCACCTTCCAGGCTCCAGGCTTCACGAGGGAAATCCTCTGGGCAGGAGACGCCCTGTGCTCCCGCCTGCCAGTCCCGCCGCTCCCTGGAGACTGGTCGTGTGAAGTTATTGCAGCGTCGGGAAGTCAGGCCCGCTCAGGGGAGAGGGGCTCAGCCCAGAGAGAGCTGGGTATGGTGGCCCTTTGTTTGGGATGCAGGGACCTTGGATAAGAATCACGTCTGCTCTGGTTTCATGGGAGTGAACATCCTGCGCCTTAGGGGGAGAACCAGACAGTGTGCGCGCCTCTCTTGACCACTGATAATAAAAACCTGCTGGTATTGCCCTCCCCTAGGGTTTGTGTTATTGGAGACCAAGGGCAGCTATTGGTCAAGTCTGCCCGCAAGCCATCTCCAGGGGAGTGGGCCAGAGGTCCTTAGCTCACCCCCAGCAATCCTCGGGGCTCTGGTTGGGGGGCTTGCCTCCCTGCGCCTCCTGCCTGTGTTTTCTTACCAGACTCCCAGCCCTCCAGGGGAGCTGCCTTTGTCTGTCTCAGGGGACCCGAGGGTGGCGCTCCCCATCCTCGGTCACTCTCCCTTCCTTCCCTTTTCCCCCCACCGTGGCTCGCAGGGGTGCAGGCCCATAGAAGAGGAGCAATGGCTGCTTGTGGGACGGCGGTCAGAGTGGCAGGACCCAGCTCTGCCAGGTCCGCAGGCAGGTGAGGGCCAGAGCAGCCGGGCTGGACCCCGCGGGGGAAGGGAGGCTGGTGGCTCTGGCTGAGAGCTGGAGGAAGCCACACTCGTTTGTGTGCACGTGAGCACGTGTGCACGCGTGCCAAGTCTCAGCCCTGCTGGTTCTTGAGCTAGTTACAGTTTGGATCAGGGGGAGGAGACCCCCTCTCCAGCCATCAGAGTGAGGCCAAGGCACAGGAAAAAAGGAGGAGGAAGGCAGAAGGGGAAGCAGAGAGGGGGAATGGGCAGGGTTGAGGTTAATGGGGTCACGTGGATCCTCTCCAGGCCAGATGTTCGTGTAGCCTCCTTAGTGTGTGTCGTAGAGGACAGGCCGCAGGGTGGGCAGGTGTCAGGGTGGACAGGGCCCTATGGCACCTGGCCTGGTTTCTTAGACTGGGCTTGTCGGGCTGAGCAGCGCCCGGGTCGGGTGGTGGCCAGGCCCCAGGGCAAGGGCTCGCTCTGGAAAGGCGAGGGGGGGGGGCGGGGGGGGAGGGGCTGGGCCCTGCAGGGAGTGGGCTTCTCTCGTGAACGAGGTTGGGGCTGGGGCTGCTGCTCCCCTTGGCCGTATGTGGGCTGGAAAGGAGTGCAGAAGCGTTCTCTCAAGTTGGCAGAAGAGACGCTTTGGTCACTTAAGTGGGACCAGGTGTTGGGCTGACTCAGCTGCTTCAGGCTGAGGCTCTGGAAAAGGAAACGGTTACAAAGTTGGGGCTTGGATGGCTCATCCTTGTCCTCTCAGGCTCTAACTGCTGTTATTCTTGCCTTCCTTCCTGTCCCAGGAGATAACTAGGGCATGTCCAGGACACCAGAGTCCCTCGTCTGTCTGGGGACTCCCCCAGGTTCTTCCCAGCTGGCCCTGTTGCGTAACCGTTGTTCTGAAGCCTTATCCTACTGCAAACATTCTGCCTGGTGATCAGACGGCAAACTAGCGCTCCCTGGTCACCAGCGAGGGCCAGATGGAAAGTGGGGAGTGTGAGAGCAGCGAACTTGTCGCAGTCATGTTGTCATGGTGACACAACTCTGTTTAGCTGTCTCTCCATGGTCCTAGCCCACATGGACTAAAATAAGTCTTACCTGCAGCTTGTACCCCCGGCAGCCTGTCCCCCCAGGGTCAGCTGTCTGGCCGGGGCGGGGGTGTGTGATTGTGAAGGGCAAGGGGCCCCAAGGAGGATGAATGGGAAATGTTTACCCCTTTCCCCTTCTTTTCCCACCCCGGCCCCAGCCTGGTTCTCTTTAGCTCTGTGGTTCTCACACTTCAGCCTGCGTCAGAACCGCCTGGAGAGACTGTCAAAGCACAGGTTCCCGGGCCCAGTCGCCGGAGAGCCTGGTGTGCACCTGAGAATTTGCATTTCTCGCAGGGCCCAGGTGATGATGATGCTTCTGGAGCGGGGGCTGCACTTGATGTAGCCCTGCTTTAGATTTTCCTACCTCCCAGCAAAGAAATGCACCCCACTCTAGTTTCACGCAGCGTGTGTTCGACTGTGTCCCCAAGTCCTGCCGCTTTAGAGGAGAGAGGGGACGGTACAGGCGGGCCCTTACTCACCTCTTCTGTGTTCTGTGGCCTCCTTACAGGAAGCAGGAGCTGGCCAACAGCTCAGATGTGACTCTCCCAGACCGGTCGCTGTCCCCTCCTCTCACTGCGCCTCCCACCATGAAGGTAAGAGGCTTAGAGTTGGTAAGTGGCAGCGGCGGGGTGGGGGGGGGGCGGGGAATCTCAAGGCTTTGCTTTGTTCTGGCAGCCCCAGCGGGGCTGTCCCAGTGGGGGCCACGGAGGCCCGGGCCCCTCCGGAACAGTGTTCACATGAGCTCAGCAGCGCAGGAGGAGCCTGTGACTGTGAGACGCAGGGGTGTTAGGGCGCCGTGAGGACACAGGCCGGGGCGGAGCGGGCTCAGCGCGGTGCTTGGTAATTAGTGAGAGGCCTTGTGGAACCGTGGGGCTCCGGAGCAGGGGGCCCAGGCAGGAGTGAGTGGGGCAGGGTTAGAATGCAGCCCCAGACGAGTGCCTTAAGGGGCTCCTGTCCAGAAGGGCTGCCAGGGCCTGGGGGCGGGGAAGGAGGGGCTCTGTGGGCTGGGACCTTCCTGGCTCTTGAATGGAACTTGCCTGCTGGTCTCCCTGCCTCTGACTGGCTTTCTTCCCTGGGCCCTGCCACCCCAGTCCCTGTGGGACAGTTGCCTTAGAGGTCCTGGGGAGCCAGTACTTCTTTTCCAATTTACACTTTATTCACAAGTCTCTTCCCTAGGAGACCACATCCTAGGACCCCAGGCCTGGGCCCCTCTCATTCCTGCAAAGGAGCCGAGGGGGCAGCACCCCCCTCCCAGTGTGCCCTTTCCCCTTTACCCTTCAGTCCCCCCTATGGGGATGGCCACACACACCTGATGTGGCCCTCAGGCAGTGTGCCAGGTGAGGGCTAGCTTTGAAGAAGTCATCTGCCTCCTGAGTCCTCTGAGGGGACTTTGAGGCCAGTCTCCATCTCTGTCCTGGAGCTCTGCTGTGAGGTGACTCACAGGCAGATAATTAGGGCTCTTCTCTTTTGCTCTCTGTTGCACCCCCTCTTCCCTGGCCTAATCTGTTGCAAAGTGATACCCCCAAGGGAAGCAAATAAAACCATCTTTCCGTGATCACCCCATACTGAATGCCCCCCAAGCACAGAGCTGTGTGGTCTGCGCTGAGGGGTAACATCACTGAGTGGCAGCCAGCCCGCGTTGGAATAGGATTCAGGAGCGGGTGGGGAATAGGCTGACCGAAGACAGCTCTGCTCTCCTCCTGGTAGGGTGCCCGGGGCACGGAAAGCTAGACTGCCTTCGTCAGCCTGGTCGCAATGCTGGCACCTGAGCCAGGTGATGTGGTGGCTTGTTTCCATGGGGTAGTCCTGAGAATCCCGAGACAGGAAACTCACGCCATTGTGAGTTTTCGCACGTTGGTCTCTGTGCTCATGGGTGGCAGGGTTTTGCAGGGAAGACTCTGAAAATTTCCTGGGGAGAGACACTGAGTTCTCTTGGAAGTTGTTAATTACTCACATACTTATTTAATTCACTCAACACCCAATATTTATTTGAATGTTGTATTAGTCAAGACTTTTGATTTCAAGTGACAGAAACATAGTTCACTTTGGCTTAAGCATAAAAGGGACTTTATTGACTTTGTAATGGCAAGAACAGACTCCAGGCATGGCCGCATCCATGAAATCTGTCCCTTTCCACCTCTCTTCTGTATTGGTTTCATTCCTTGTCAAACTCTGTCTCTGATGACAGGAATGTGACAGTTGCTCCTACTTGCTAAGTAACTCCAGCGAAGATTCTCTTTTCCCTAGTAATTCGAACACAAGTTCCAGGAGAAGCTCATTGGCCTGTCTTAGGTCACATGTGTATCTCTGAACCAAGCACTGCAACCAGAGAGATGGAAGGCTCCGATTGGCCGGACTTGGGTCTCACGTCCACTGCCTACACTCTAAGAGCCACGAGTGGGAGAGGGGTGGCTCTTCAAAGGAAAACTGAGGTGTTACTGTGAGAAGAGAAAGTGAATGCAGACAGGCAAGACCAACAGCTTTTTACTACAAATGCTGACCATGTGCTGAGTGCTGGGGACTTAACAGTGAGTGAGACATTGAGGTGGTCCATGTTCTAGAGCTTGTAGCCTAGCTTGGGAGATAAGAGTCAAAAAACTAAATTTAAGAACGAGGGATGAGCAGTTAGGTGTGATGACTGTTCCAAAGGAGAAGCCGAGCATAATGGGGGGCAATGTGAAGTCTGTGGATGGAGTGTCGGGTAGGGCCTCTCTGATTTTGAAGCTGAACCCTGAGAGGTGAGTAGGACTTTGTTAGGCAAAGGCATAGTCAGGCCATGAGCCTGCTAACACCGGCCTTATTTGGGAGCGCCTTAGAGATGCGGAAAGGCCCCCACTCCAGGTGGCCGGATCGGAGTCTGCATTTTACCGACATTCCCGTTCGTACGTGCTGTACAGCCCCAGAGGCACTGCTGGTGGCTCCGATGTGCTCTGAGGCAGGACAGAGAGGGTTTCTCCAGCCAGAAGGGCAGGACGGCCAGAGTGTCCACAGTTAGGGACATGGAGTCAGGCCCTTCAAGATTTTGGGCTTTCTCCTAACTAAGGCCATGAAATCATTGAAGATTTCAGCCAGAGGAGTAAAATGATGGGACTTTTGAACAAGCCACCTTGGCTGTTGCGTGGAGAGTGTGTAGAAGGAGCAAAGTGGGGCGGGGCAGACGGGTTGAGAGGGCTCCGCAGGAGTCCGGTGAGGCGCGGAAGGAAGCCTGACTTGGAAGACTCTCTGCATCGTTTGGAAGTGTGGTCTGACCTCAGATTCCCTAGGAGGTAGATTGGTGAGATACGAGGATTTGGGAGAGGTGGGAGGCAAGGTGGCCCCAGGTTTGGAGCAACTGGGCAAATGGTACAGCCCTTCTCTGAGAGGGAGTGACCCAGAGGGAGGGCGAGGGCCTGCCTGCTGCGCCCTGGCCGTGGCAGTGCGGGTTGGGCGGGGGTAGCAGGCGCACCCCTTTAGTATTGATTAGCTTGGGAGTCACAGAAAGTCAGAGATGGATGATCCCTTTCCTTCACGGATAGACTGGGTGGGAGATGACTCGCCTGAGGTCCCACTGGAGGTACTTGGGCTCCCGTTATCGTCAGCAGATTTAGTTAAATTCGAAGACCCAAACTATTTTTGGCGAAGTGCTCGTCTCATCGCACCGTGTGCACGCGCACGCAGGGACAGCCCTTCTCGCCGCTTCCCCCACTGGGGAGGGCCTGCGGGCCTCCTGTGGAGAAGCCTGCCCCCCGCCCCCAGTGCCACGGCCCCCCAATGCGGGGCTTGCTGCAACCGGTCCTCATCCTCCCCCAGCTCTTTGCTGTTTGTGTTTTTCAGGGGGATTTTTTTTTTTCCCCTAATATGAAACTGAGAAAAAGCAACCAAAGCGATACTGAGCAGATGGGCTGAATGAGAGCCCAGTTCCCAGCCAGGACTCGAGCAGAGGATGGTGCCGGGCGGGCTGGGAGAGGGGTTTGGGGCTCTCTCCCTGGGAATGCTGTGGGTTGTTTCCAGGCCCACATGTTTTATGATCTGGGTTTCCTGCCCAAACGGGTCCACAGGCATTTAGGGAGGGCCGGCCCCGTGTGCCCAGCATTGCACTGGGCTCCGTGGGGTCAAACCCAGGCCGCAGTCTTCACCCTTCAAAGAACTTGCTGTCTACAGGGAGCCTTAATGGAGCAGAAGAAACCATATGGCTCAGCATGTGACAAGCTCAAGTGTGTCATGTGGCTACTCAGTGGGATGGAGAGGAGTGAGGACAGCTTCGTGGGGAGGCTGGTGGGGGAGCGGGAAGGGGCCCTAATGGCGAGCAGGGGGGGTTGGGCCAGCCCCCGTGGGACCAACCGTGCACAACAGCTCTCCTGGGCTTCGTGAAGGGAAGTGGCTGGGGCTGACTCTCCTGGTTGTCCTCCAGCTCACAATAAGTGTGCAGAGTGTTTCATTGAAGGTGACAATGCTGGGACTGGATGTGACCTTGATCTGAACCATCACAGTGGCCCTGGAACCCCACTAGGCCAGGGCGGGCCAGGTCAGCCGAGAGGTGACCCTGCTCCGTCTTTTCCACACCGCTTCGTGCGCGTCTGAGGGCGGCCCCTGCTGCAGGCCCTCTCCTTTCCGGGGGGGGGATGAGGAGGCCTGGTGTTCCTCTGCAGGCAAGAGGAGCAGAAAGTCTCATTCCTTCTTTGCTTCCTTGGTCCTTTGCTCTTCACGAGTCACAAATGCCTAGGAAACCTTCAGAGGTGGGTCAGGCAGGGGTGCAAGTGTCCAGATGGTAGGGAAGACCACGGAGGTCAAAGGAGCCTTGTCTCCATTCCCTCTGGGCAGAGCTGGGCTAATCTTCTCCTCCCGCCCTCCCAGGCTCACCAGTTGCGCAGCGGCCAGGCCCTCACCCTGGGGGCGGGCTGGGCTTTCCCTTCCAGCTCATAACACAGCCCCGGGCCCAATGCCATCTCTTCGCTGTGTGGCTGGTTCTTGCCCCGTCTCCTGGCCACTCTGGGAAGGGTTGAGTGAGATGTGTCAGCCCCTCTCAGGTCTACCAACTTAGTATGGACAAGGTGAGGGGGCATTTGTGGGAAGGACGCTGGGAGCCTCCTCGGGCGGGGGCAGGAAGGGCTCCGGGACCCTGGTAAGGAGGTTTGGTTCCCGGTCCCTTGAAGGGGATGGAGAAAGACAAATATTTGCTCCCCGTTAGCACCAGTGCAGGAGGTTTAGCCGGTTCTATTCTTGATGCTCTGTGGGCCCTGGAGAGCCGTCTCTGGTCTCCACATAGACCCTGTTTATGTCACCTGTCCTGGTGCCACCTCCTCAGGACCCACATCCCAGGAGCCCTTTGATTTCACAGAGGCCAGTGGTCAGGGGAGCCCAAGGGCAGTGCAGACGTGAAGCGGGGGGCTTTACCTGGCCTGCATCTGTGGGGCTGCACCTTGGAGGTGTCAGGACCATGGAGATGCCTGCGTGGACCCACCCCTCATGTGCGCACATCTGCACATATGTATAGTGTCCCTGATTTTGCTCATGTTTTAAGGCTCACCAGCTTGCACTTCTTGCAAGTTATTTTAGGTATAACCAGATTTAAAAAAAATTGACATACATTGAAATGCATAAGTCTTAACTGTAT